ATTGTCATTAATGAGAGTCCACATGAAATCAGAACTACATTTTTGTTTCACAGTCATCACCTGTTCAGCGATTTTCTCTCTGCAAAATATGTGTTTTGCGCAAAATGAAATGCTACCTGACATACTGCCTTTAAAATATCTCTTAATCCATAACGTATAACAATGCCAATGCAAACCTGTCTACAAAACTGCCAGCACTTTATATCTGGAAATCCCCCTTTTTTTTTTAAAAATGTCAACTAATTCATGGTTGAAGTTATGGATATGAAACAAAATAGATATGTGTATTTGCACGGTTTATTTAGAGTCTAGTTATTGAAACTGTTTCCCTTCCGGTCCAAGCTCTACAGGATGTTTTATTCTGGGTTATATTGACCAAGATAACACTTGATATCCATGATCAGCTGATAAGGGATTCTTTTTGGACCAAGGATCAAATCACAGCTTGCCCCCGTCTAGTCTTCTGGCACCAGACCCAGATTTGGTTATCTTCTGCTCTTAAGTTAATCATGTTTATAGTTGCTGTCATACCATTATAAGATAACACATGTGGAATTTAAGAGTGTGTCATACCTGATATATCATGTGACTTTTGCTATCAGATCAAAACCATTTTTAATGTCTGTTAACTCTAAAATGACTATTTAAACATTGGGTTAATTTATTCTTAGATTCAACTATTGCCAAGTGATCTGTTAAAAATGATTTATTTTTGTTTATTTCAGGCACTACAAGCTCTCTGTGGTGATGCTTTGCTTCGTCGTGCCCATGATGGTGCCCTGGTACTTCTGGGGTGAATCCTTGGTGTTGGCATACTTCGTCCCTGGACTCCTGAGATACGCTGTGATGCTCAACGCCACCTGGCTGGTCAACAGCGCCGCGCACTTATACGGCAACAGACCTTATGACAAATCCATCAACCCGAGGGAAAACCCGTTTGTTGCTTTCAGTGCCATAGGTAAGGAAACGGCATGTTCAATATCCACTATATTGTGTCCCACAGTGATGTCGTGCTCATTCTGTATTATGACAACATAAGCATTTTGTTTTAATTGAATGCCTTTACGTGCCAGAGGGGTATTTGAATGATCTTTTCATCACTTGTTGAAGGCTTTTCTTGTAAAGTCAACCACAGTAGGGGCTCTCTGAAAGCTGATTCAGTCTGGTGTCTGTAGTTGGAACAGTTTGCTAATCCAGCGGCTGGTGTTGACTTTGTCCTGGCTCTGCCCGTTTCAGCTTTGAACTTTAGAGGTGTTCAGTGTTCGAGCTGTGTGTTTAGTCATTCTTTAGAGCAGGACAGTGAGGTTATTTTCAGTATCATTGTTTCCCACGAGTCAAGAATGTATTTGCGGTGGCTGACACCACAGGGCTGTGTTGCTGCAAACAGCGCTGAGCATTGTTAGCCGCTAACGGCATTAATTTCATTCACTAGCTAACTTGTGATTGCACAAAAATAGACAATTCTGCCAGACTTTTTTTGGCTTTCAACTGTATTTCCATGCAGCTTTACCAGAATCTTCCCCATTTTATGACAAGTAAGATAGCTTTTTTACTCTTGTTTTTAAGCTAAAATAGGATGCAAGCAACACTAGTTTCTTAACCTGAATTGATAATAGACTATAATCAATTTAAACTGAACAGATCTTAATGTTTGCATTCTTATACCATTTTGTACAATAATTATAATGAATAAGTTCAAACAAACTAAAACTTACAGCTGATTAATAACGGTATCTAACTTGAGTTTTTATTATATCAAAAACCTGTTGAAATTCTGCTGTTATTTTTACTGTCCCCAAAAGCGCGTCGCAGCCTCCAGGAAAGCTTCTTTCACAACTTCGCCGTCTTTGAAAGACTTCATGTGTTTCTCAAGAACGTGACTGACACGATAAGATGCTATGGTAGCAGCCTTGCTCTTGTTGTTGGGCCTGGTGGAAATGGACTGCTGTGCATTTAGCTGTCCTTTCAGGCCCCTCCCCTTTTGGAGCGTAGGGCAGATTTAGGAGGGAATTCCGTCTCGCAGCGTTTGTGCACTGTTTTGAAATGCCGCTCCTAAATTACTCTTCTTCGATAAAGCCACGCTCGCATTGCAGATGAGACAGATGGACTTTGAATTGGAATAGATACACAAATAATCATCCTCCCACTCGGAGTGAAAATTATATATTTTGGGCTTTTTTGCTTCTGCCATAATTGCGTGTGGACTGTCACTCTTGTTGACACGGACAACGTCAGCGAACTACTGCCCACTGCCCACCAGCCACGCCCCGACACATGGGGTCACGCCGGCCAATCACAAAGCTTTGATGCGTTCAAGTGCATTATTCTGGACAGGAAGATTATGTTACAGGACATTAACGATACAACAGAATGTTGTTCTATTTTTAGACACATCTCGCGATCGATTGGTTGGGCACCCCTGACCTAGAGCAACTGTAGCAAACGCATTCGGCGTAAATGAAGCAACTTTAGTACCTTACTTTAAATTAATTAGAACGTTTGTGATAATTTGTCTCAAAATTCATCTACAGGAAAAAAAAGCATTCTGGATTGTTTAGTACTTGTACTAATCTCAATTTATCCGACACGTTCTACAGAGTTCAGTCTGAACTTCAGAATTGGTTCATAGGCTTCATATATATATATATATATATATATATATATATATATATATACACACACACACAGTGGAGTGGATGTTTCCTACTGCAGTACCCTATGGGACATGAGGTGTCGTATCTCTGAAGGCTTTGGGCACACCTGGGCTGTTACCCTGACAACCAAACAGTGTTATACTGACTACTGAGACTAATCTAGAAAATCTGATTTCAGCAGCTTGTAAATGACATTCCATGACAGTCCACCGCTAAGATTTTACCGAGTCGCCAATTCACTTTCTCCAAATCACATTACCAGTCACATGCTACCAGCAGCTGTGTGTATAAAGCCCTGTGCCACTGTCCTGTTATGTGTTCAAATGAGCAGAAATGTATCATCTGATTGTTGCATGCATATCTTAATTCTGGTATTTAACTTGTTGACATTCAGCAACACACTAAAGTCCTTCTTTTTTGTCTTTCAGGGGAAGGTTTCCACAACTACCACCACACGTTCCCCTTTGACTATGCAACGAGTGAGTTTGGCGTCAAGCTCAACATCACCACTGCCTTTATAGATCTCATGTGCTTCATGGGATTGGCCACGGACCCCAAGAGCGTGTCAAAGGAAGTAATCATGGCTCGCGTCAAGCGGACGGGTGAGGGCAGCCACAAAAGCGGCTGAGTCACAATAGCTAGGAACTTTGCAAATGAAACCGAACATGTCGAACCGAGACCGAACGTAGCAACAGGTATAGCAGCATTTCATCAGTGGTGGTGGGGGGGGGGGCGTGATTACCGTGCTTCTGATTATAAGTTAAACCCTCTCCTGAGACATATTTTTGGCTTTAAAGAGTTGTAAACTTTTCCATAAACTGTTTGGGCCTCTTTTGAAGTGTCCTCGCCAACTATTCGCCACAGCCAGCGACTTGACTACATGTGCAAGCACAGCTTTTCAACATAATATTTAAAACCGGGCACAAACATAATGAAAAGGCTAATTAGGATTTGTGTCGTGTTTGGCAGGAGTAGGACAACCAAACAAGTTAGTGATTTGTTGAAGCAGTGATTACAGAATGATTTACTGTATATCTTATTTGTTTAATGTGCTATTTATTAATTGTGTTTGGCACTTTGGAAGCTTCATTGAAACCCTTAACAGTGAGGTTTGTCTTCAGGCAATGTTAAGGGCCTTCCGCGCTAACTTCTCTCAGTACTGCTTTGTCTCTTTCCACAGGGAGTGGAGTTTCATCTTGATTATTGTTTGTCTGTGATAAGCTAAGGTTTTCTTTATTTTATGTAAGATATTAGTCTTGCTAAACCATAAGCTACTGTGTTCAATGCCGACACAAAGACAGGCAACACTCTATTGAACTTTCCATATTTATCATACCGGAGTAACCCTCGGTCGAATGCAGTTCAGATGTGCTATTCTTTGGGATACTTTCACACCCATTGTCTCCAACTGTACCAGAAGGGTTCTTATGAGGATTAAGTTCTCTGTTTCAATGCAGTTTATACCTCTTGAGTAGTGAAAACGCCTCAGACTGAAACACGGAACCTGACTTCTCACTCGATACACAAAAAGAAATTATTATTAGCATTTATTTTTAAATATACTCGGACAAGGTAACCCTCTCCCTCAGATAAGGCCAATGAGGCATGTGTAGAGGCTGCATTTACCTTTTGTGCTGTGTGATATTATTGAAATGTGTCAGGACTCTTGCCCAAATGCCTTATGAGGGTTGCACACCTGATTTAAAAAAAAAAAAGTGTTAAAAGTGCAAGTTATGAAAATACATTAGAATATTCTGTCTAATCAAAGATGTTTCTGTCTGTCTTTAAGAAAAACTTAAAACTTAAAATCCCTGTTTTGCAATGAATAAGAGGGGACCATTCAACTAATCTTAAAGAAATGCTATGGTTTAACTTTTGTGTGACCAAACAAATACTTTCCTCTAAAACAAGATCCAACTTGTTTTTATCATTATTGATAATGTTGTTATAATATTTGTCACACATTTACAGAGCAACACTTTTTTACAGTGTTAACTTCTTGAAGTTTGAATGCCTTAAAACAATGGCACATTTTTTCAAAGAATGTTTTTGCCCACTCTATGTACCGTAAATAAACCAAATTTTCTACTTGCGACAAAATATGTTTTTGATGTTTTTTGTTGGAATTCTGTAATACTCTATTCGTAAACTGAATTAAAAAAATATATGATCGTACCATTTCTGTTACATTCTTTATCAGTGGATTTTGATAGATTAATAATAACCACTACTTAAAATGATAATGAACTATTGATAAAGTTACTAAATCAACTATACTTTAAAACAATGTCAAAAGTTAAAGAAACATGGAGCTATGTTATTACATGTTTTATATTACAACCACAATCTATTCTGACATACATTATGTGACATACAATATTTTAGTATTGAAAATATATTTCACATGAGAAATTAGGTATGTAAAGACAGTTTTCATTGGGTATTATTTCATACACATTTAAATAGTGCAGTGACGTAAGCATTTTTCACATTTTTGGAAACCTTGATTACTAGTCTGGCAGTTGTCGCCAACTACACAACATGTTCGTCACTGACGTCCAACACGGGTTAAGAATCTGAAAATATGTTATCTTCATCTTGCTCCTCCTGTTGTTGGACATGTTAATTGACATCATCGTCTCCTGTCTACATGCCAATACTGATGGGGATCTTCTCTCTGCTGTTCAAGCTCAGTTCACTTGTCTCAGGCATCTAACATTGTAAGATTACTGCACTTTTAACACCACCATACATATTTAAAATAGCTGTGGATATTGTTTGAACATAAAGTACAGACATCTAGGTAGTGCATACTGCTTTTCAGCCTCACGTGTTCAAGCCTACATATTTAAAACTGAAACATGCTGTTTGAGCAAAAATAGTTTATTTAGTGTTGTCTCTAAAGAGAATTTAGTTATCAACATATTTCCTCCCTTTGAAGGATCTGTAAACTTGCTCCCTCTGCTGGTGAATTATTTGAATGCAGGTCAAACAAACAGCTAAGAACTCCATCTGATGTGTTAACGCAATAACATGTGATAACCTTGTTGCAATTGGTGGTTTTGTCATAAAAGCTTCCATTCAGAGAGCAGTCACAAGCCTGAGTCTGGTCCAAATGTGCATGTAAGTGGTCCCACAACTGCTGATCTCTGTTGCTCTATGTGACATCAGCCCTCTGTCTATTGGCTGCTGACTGTCAGGCCATCCTCTTCACTGCATCAACACCTCGGTGTTAGTCACACAGCCAGTCCGAGCTCGGACACCACAGTGGTCAGACACTTTCAGCTCTGCTATTGCACACCACAGAGGAGTTCTTTACTAATAAGCTAATTTTCAGGGGATCTGAGGTCCCAATTTAGTCAATTCAGAATGAATCAGATACACAATGTTACCCACCCATACGTTTTGCACACTTATACAAAGAAAAATCCCATGTTCTGCAATTAGATGCAAATTCCACTATGCTCATGTAAAGCTAGATGCCGCTATTTTTCACATTTATAGACCAATATGGAACTTTGATGTCGACTTGTTTTCGTGTTGCGATGAATTGTAGGCCTAACTGCGCACTTTTGGTGACGATCATTTCTCTTGTATTAAAACACAACAGGAGGGATTTCTGCTGTTGTCTCATTTCACTTGTCATTCCACTTTAAATCTTAATCCAAAAACATCCCTCAGAAGTCCCCCCTCCTTTCAAATCACTGTTTCTCTAATCCTAATTTGCACACAAGAAGGTTGCTAAAGGGCTGCCTGCGCCAAAGGAAAGGGTCCTAAGGGTCAGACGGGGTTATTGGGGAATAACCCTGCATGCAGTGTTAGGTAGGGACCGTCTGGATTAGTGATGCAAATATCCCATATCTGATCAATGGCTAGGCCTTCTCTCTCAATCTCTCTTTTATTTTCTGTTAGGGATCATCACTCGGAGAAATTATCTCTTTTTATATCTACGGGCGTCAGGATGGCAATATGACAGGAAAACGGGATACTGCTAACAGGTACACTCGAATACACATAAACAAATGTTAAAGTAATTTAATACGACACAAAACGGATATTTTACGGAACATAATATAAAACGTGGTTGTTTATTGATCCTTATTATGACATCGTCGACGTTAAGAGATTACATGTAAAATACACAATACCATGTGCCATTAGCCTACTTATTTGTAAAGAGATATTAAATGATGTTTTCTCCAAAAGTCGTTTTCGCAGCCACCTGCAAATCATCTAGGCTATACATGTGGAAATAACGTATTAATTTAGTAAATATTATGAGGCAGTTTGACCCCATATCAAATGATCAGAGGACACGTTGTCGTGTTCCGTGTGAGTAATAGTCCTTGTGTTGAGGCGAGGGTGATAAACATTGATCCAATCACATCTTTGTAATAGCATGAACTACTTCCTCAAGAACAAACAATATATGTATATCAAACTAACCATCCGTCACCCAGAGGACTATCTTCCACTAATCCCTGACAATCAGATGCGTGTTAGATAGTTTAAATAAACTTTTTTCTCCTACTAGAAATTCAAGGGATCAGTGTTACACTTTTGCTATAGGATTAAACAGATCTTCCTTGGCTCTTGAATGGAGGCAGGGAACCTACCGTTGCCCGGCCCTGAAGGCCCAGGGTGCCCTTTTGATCGTTTCAGTCTCTCCTTGGTGCAAAACTTCTGATTGGCCGAGAGAGTAAAAAGGGGGAAAATCTTTAATTAAGCAGATAATCTCTTGTTGGGACGAGAGCAGCTCCATTTCAGAGCCCCCTCCTTGAATCTTGGAAGCTCTGGTGAAGCTTCATGTGCTGGTAGCTCAGTTTCCTCTCCATCGTCAGACCGTGTGCAGGCTTTGGACGGTCTGAGTCACCGTCACACCCTCACCTGTCAGGATGTTCATGCATTTGGAGGTTTTCTATTACATTTTCATTCTCGTGGCTCACATGAGGTCGTACTGCTGCTGGTGAGTTTCATTTATCATGAAATATTAATACTTTCTGCAAACACAGTTTCATCCCCTGATGATCTTTTTCAAAAGGCATAACATGGCCAAATAAATCACTTACCGTAACAATTTGCCAATTGGAAATAAAGGAAAAGTAAAATGAAGAAATTGTTTATGTTTATTATAATTTAGGAATATAATTATACTTTTTTTTAAATTAAGGATTTACAAGTTGTAACTAATGGCTTTATTAATACAACATCAGTTATAGATCAGTTGCTATCCACTACAAGTTTTGGGGTGTAAAAAGAACGATTTTTAACATCTTTTAACAAAAAGAATGGCTTCAGACCAAAATCCATGTATTCAATTATCATCACTTGAAACTGAAGACTTGATGAGTTAAAGACATTTTTAAAGAGAGATTAATAAACATTTAGAACCACATTTTCAACAACGGACAAACCAATAGACATGTATAAATGGACCAATATTTTTGGCTGCGTTCATTTTCAAATAGACAGGTTGAACATGATTGACACAACCTGGCAACGGCAAATTTGAAGTCAAGTGTTAATAACATTGAATCATTCAGTCATTGCCTTCCGTTCTTACATTTCTAGAAACTTTTTAACAAATTCAGTAGTATTGTTCACTGAGATTTGTATGCATACTGGTGTCACAGTTTAACATGTTACAAGGCGCACTAATGAGAGATGTTAGCAGAGGAATTTGTGAAGGACACTGAGCTTCCCTGAGTGATTAAGCTGTCTCCTTTTCCAGGTCAGTGAATAATTTCCTGATGACTGGACCCAAGGTAAGCCAACTTTCTTTTGATCTTTTCTCAGATTCCTTTTCCCAAAAGAAAGAGGGAACGAAAACAGGTTTTATGTGTTGTCCTTGTGATATCTCAGCTCAAGTGTATCTTGTTCATGTATGTATCCAACAATGGCACTAATGATATATCAGTAATATTCTTGGCCCTTTGTGTTTTTTCCCCCCCTGATCGTACACTTGACCTTATTCAGAGGCTCTGCGTATCTGCGGGTTGAATGTTTTAAGGGGCGAGGGCAGGCATTGCTGTAGTGGGTGGTCATCATTAGTGAGCCAGACCCCTGTGAAAGAGGTGGCACTTCATCTCAGCAAAGGCCACTTGAGACATATTAGTTATATTATCGTTCACACAGTGTGAACAAGCTGAAGAGAGGCGAGCGAAAGCCAAGGACAGCGTACCGGTTTGAGAGAGCTCAACAATTGACGCTCATTCACCGGGGATGATAGAGTGGAAAAAGTAGTATAATGTTGAAATCCGTTCACATTGTTTTTGTCATGAAACTGAAAACAAGCATATACTCGACATTAAGGGCTTGTTGATATTCCATATCATACCCACTTTGACATTCTTGAGAAAGAAAGTGGCAAAACACATTCAGGGGTACAAAATGACACCAGTAGGGAGAAATACATGTAAAAGTCTATTGGACATCATTATTCCTAGTTTTCATATTAACATTTGATTTTGTGCTCTCATGGTTTGTTGGAGCTGTGACTCCTCACCATTTCATAGGCTCAGGCTTTAGTCATTTATTCAATTTTGTCTGCTAAAAATGATATTTATGTTCTTCTAAATGGCTTATAAGCAACAACTCAAATTTAAGTACCAGGTCACCATTCCCAAAAGACAATGGTAATTTGTATAAACTGGGTATCAAATCAAACCAGTTGCTGTAAAAAAATCTCAACTTCTCAATTTATGTTATCACTGTTGCAAAATGTGTGGTGTCGATTTATATGTTAAATATCTCCCCGTTGCTGCAGGCGTACCTGATCTACTCCAGCAGTGTGGCAGCAGGAGCTCAGAGTGGCATAGAGGAGTGCAAATACCAGTTTGCATGGGACCGCTGGAACTGCCCCGAGAGAGCTCTGCAGCTGTCCACCCACAGCAGCCTGCGCAGCGGTAAGACATCACTAACTCCAGACTCCCCAGACATCACTCACACATCTCTACACTGCAGCCAGACCAGGAGAGAGCCTAAATAAGAAACATTGCTAATGGAATTTAAAATATGTCTCGATAGTCTTTTGTAATTGCAAGTTTTTGTGCGCGAGGGGAGGTTTTTCTTCCCTTTGTGAAATAGAGATGTTTGCTCAGTCGAAACATTCAGCACCCTTTGGGATGGATATAGTTGGCATGGTTGCTTAGAGGCAAAACAAACAAACTAATCCATTTCCTAATACCCCCCAAAATCACTGCCTCTATTTGCAACTGATGAATGCAATATTGACAAAGGGTCAAATGTAAGGCAGTTCATTCTTTCAAAAAGCTTAATGTAGTCACAATTTAGAAATGTAGATACCACTGTGTCTTGAAAGGAGTATAGGTAATTGACTCATTAGTTTGAAACATGTTAAAAGCTCTTACTAAGGGAATGAGATGGTGATATGAAATTCCTGAGGGTCCTTTGTAATGAGACATGCCAGTAAATGAGTTTTCTCTGCTCACAGCAAATCGGGAGACAGCGTTTGTCCATGCCATCAGCTCGGCCGGAGTCATGTACACTTTGACCAGGAACTGCAGCCTCGGAGACTTTGACAACTGTGGCTGCGACGACAGCAGGAACGGACAACGAGGTCAGAAAGGTTCACTTATGTGTGCATACAAAAATAAGTTTGAATAAAAAGGCACGGATCATTCTAACTTAATTATTTTTGCTAGGCGGTCATGGTTGGCTCTGGGGCGGCTGCAGTGACAATGTTGGCTTTGGCGAGGCCATCTCCAAACAGTTTGTGGATGCGTTGGAGACTGGGCAGGACTCACGGGCAGCGATGAATCTCCATAACAACGAGGCCGGGCGCAAGGTACAGTAGGTGCTCCTAATTCACTCCATCCACAATGAGATATTAGTCGTTGGTGTAAGATGTAACACCATGTCGTTGCCTTAATTTGAGCTATACAGTATTTAAACTGAGTAGTGTTGGATTGCTTGACATTTCTAGATTCTCTCCTGCTCCTCCAACTGATTGTGCAGTGTAAAGCACCTTTTGAATATTTTTTCCAGAATTACACTGCCACCCAAGCATCCCTTTCACGTCGCTATAAGTGAGGTGCCACTCGTCCCCAATAATAACAGTGTGTTCGGTGTACCAGAAGGGCCTATTTACAAGTGCTGAAAGCCCCTTATGACAATACCTCAACCCGAAAATCTCAGGATCACTGGTGCAAGCTTAATTAGAGATCCTGGGGAGCCAGACATTGCACAGCGTTCTGTATTATGCTGCTTTTTAAAATAAGTGTTTAGTTTTATTCTTGCAATAAGGATCCCACATTTATGTTGGTCTTTGTTTGGCCCAGAGGGAGTCTGAGGGGACCACAGGCGTGCAGCTGAAGTGCTCTTTGTTTACGATGCCTTTGCTCCCCCCTGTCAGGCCCTAGGATCCCCATGGCACCTGGAGCATCATTGTAACAGAAAAAAATGGGGATAGAAAGAGAGAAAAACTCCTTTTTCATTTCTCCACTCAATGGGACTCTTCATTGGGTCTCCTCACACTAGAAAACATGTTGATAATGAACATGCTAAATAAATACTTCTATTTCTTCTGGGGGGACAATAGGACTCAATGTGAAACTTTGATTCAGCCTCACTTCAACAGAAAGTTCATCCCCTCCTCAAGAAAAGAAAACGTCCCTTTCAACCGACAGCTGTTTTTGTGTCGGATAAAGTCAGGAAACACTGAGGACGACAAAGAAACTCAACTGTGGACCTTGAAGCTATCATTTCTTCTTTTCAGTGTATTCATCCTTTTATACTTAACTGGAAAACGTTGAGAATACAATTAGTTAATTTGACAACACATCAATCAAGAGACAATGGACATCCTGTCTTAACACACACATATAATTACATAGACATGAACTAGAGTGTCAATGCATACGAAACTAACATCCTTCAACACAGTAAACTATGAATACATTTTAATAAAGTTTATTTGCATCTCCAGGCTGTGAAGGGGACCATGCAGAAGACATGTAAGTGTCACGGGGTGTCGGGAAGCTGCACCACCCAGACCTGCTGGCTGCAGCTGCCAGAGTTCAGGGAGGTGGGGAACTACCTGAAGGAGAAGTACCACAGGGCTCTGAAGGTGGATCTCCTCCGAGGAGCCGGGAACAGCGCGGCCAGCCGAGGGGCCGTCACAGAGACCTTCAGCTCCATCTCTCGAAAGGAGCTGGTCCACCTCGAAGACTCCCCCGATTACTGCCTGGAAAACCACACTTTGGGCTTGCCGGGCACAGAGGGCCGCGAGTGCCTCAAGAAGGGCAAGAACTTGAGCAAGTGGGAGAAGCGCAGCTGCAAGAGGCTCTGCGGAGAGTGCGGTCTGGCTGTGGAGGAACGCAAAGCGGAGATGGTGTCAAGCTGTAATTGTAAATTCCACTGGTGTTGCGCAGTGAAGTGTGAGCAGTGCAGAAAGACAGTGACTAAATACTTCTGTGTGAAGAAAGGAGGTCAGAGGGGAAGGAACGAGAGTGCCGGGAGCCGCCGGAAGAACCTCAGACTGAGGAAGAAGCACTGAGCACCCTTATCACTTGTGTCATAATATGTATGTCACTGCAGACTCTCTGTGCATGTTCAGATAGTGTGTGTTTGGACAAAAGCTTAGCAAAAAATACAATTTCAGACCATCTTCATTGTCTTTTTTTCTATTAAAAGTTAAAGATTGTGGGATGTGCACAAAGTTACATGGTAGAGAAGTTTACAACTTTGTAGAGTTTTGGTATAAATGTATTTAAGATATATTTTTTATACTTTTTACAACATTATCAAAAGTCACTGGGCATTTGAAGAGCATACTTCTGACTGCCACATTTGCCACAACATGATTTATTTATTTTCATACGTACACATGAGCCTTGGGAAACATTTGAACAGTTGATCAGTGGATGATATGATTGTTTAACAATGGCATAATCAGCTTTTGAAAACACAATTTTCAAGAACCCGTCAGGATGTAATCCCATGAATGCCTAATACTGTTAGCCTAGCAGTAATATTCGTATATTTCAACTATCATAGCCAATCTTTACATTTATTCAGGAACATTTAGACATTTCTTTCGGAAAGTCTGGCCCGCCCTGACCTTTGCTGCCCTCTTGATGTATTTAATTGTATATAAAATGAAGCACTTTGTACTGTACATTGTTAATTTATTGCACAGCATTTCCTAGTTTTGCTTTATTGTTAGTTACCTTCATGGTTTGTTTTCTATTAAAATGTAATAAAAGAATAAATCCTTCCATCTTATATATCATTCAGCCTGAAGAAAGCATTCATCGTTCTTTACTCTTTGTGATTCCTGAATCAGTAAACACAACCTTCCTCTTCACATTGTTCACATAAGGGTGAGGACACCGTGGGGCAAATCAACAAGAATTGTAAACTTTCCAGCGTTCTCTTCGTTCCATCACGCCTTTCTCAATTTCGCCTCAACAAATACCTCCCCGTCCTCTCACTCATCATGGTAATCCTCAAAGAGCCCCCTAACTCCCCACCGCTTGGAAGTTTCTTTACTGTTTAATACTAGTTTAATTAACTTTGTCCAGACAGAGTAGGGCCGTGGGGGTGGAGGGCATGAGGCAAGTTGCCCTTAAAAATCATCCCGCCTCTAATTTTGTATGCTAATCTCCTTTTTCACGCCGCACCTCCTTAGGAGTGGGTGAAAGAAATGTTGGGAAAACTTTGGGGTTGCCTGTGCAGGGCTTCCTGCGGCTGTTTTATTTCTGGGCCCACCTATTTGGATCCTTTCACTCCTCTAGGGCCTTCCTTTGCTCGATTTAACAATGAATGCAGAGCTAATCAGCTCTCTCGGAAATGCACCACTGTCGAGGAAGGTAATCCCTTCTTCTCTACTCTCAATGGGCTGTCGCCTTCTAAAGGACTTTGGGAAAAGGCTTTGCACAGATTCACACTGTTTTCTCAAAAGAAGTTAGTTCAAGTATTGTGCCCAAACAAGTGGGTTTTATAAACACATGCTTGCCAGGAGACTCACCCCACCTGCAAGTAAGAAGTGCCAGGCCCAGGCAGACTAGCACATGGCAGCCGAAGCCGAAACCCTTCAGACGAGATGGGACATGAAAAGGGAGATTAGAGTTCCCATTGAGAAGGGGGCGTTCATTTCTGCACCTTCCTCCTTTTACTTAATAAAGTGTCAAGGAAACACCTTGTTGACATCTTATTTACCAAATAATGATCATAATCAAAACTCCTCCCTCCTGATGACCCCTGTGGGCTTGCTGGATTGCTCTGCCTGGCATGCAGGGAAGCCCAGTCACCAACAAAAGAACCAGCATACCAAGCTTTCGCCCGGCGGCTCTCTGGAAGCTCTGCAATTTACTGAGATAGGGAATAGTAAAGGGGCACATAAAATGTCAATTCACAAGATTTTGAATGCAAAATTATAATTAGCACATGCATTTTGGATTAAACTTAACAAAGCCATTTCAAACTCGGTGTTTAGAATGCATTCTTATTTAGAGTTTTTTCTGCAGTTAAGTTTGTGAGTCATGCTGTCAGCTCTGGCTCACTATCAGCGGAAAATTGTAAACATAAATCACACAAAGGGAAAAAACTGCCAACACAGCCAGTCAGTTAAAGTGTGGGAAAAAGCCAGACCGAAAAACATGTTTAACTGTTCTTGAGTTCAGCAGTTTGACACACCTGGGGCACTGTTCGCTTGTTCTGCCAGGATCAGTTGTGCATCAGCAGCGGAGATGAAAGAGAGTGCATTGCTCTGGTGGGCAGTACATGAACATAATAATGTGCTTAACCTGGAGACCTAATGTCAGGTGTTGGACCGGGAGAAGCTAAATATCTCAGCTTCAAAGAGAAATAGTAAATGCTTATATAGCCCAAATAGCCACTTACCCTTTACCCTGCTGCACTATAATATCTTAATTTGTCTTTAATGACGGATTCTTTCACTGTGGACTACTATAAGTGGGCTATGAGAGTCACATGAACAACCAGGGGCCACAGTTTGAGGCAAACACCTTAATAATCATCAGCATTATGTCAATCTTTTCCCCTAAAATGAACAACCACAAGGAAGGAAGGTGAACAGGATGGGGCACACGTTATAATGGCGTGTGAAAAAGCACAAAACGTCGATCATGACCATCATTTCCCAGAGAGTGACACGACCTCCGACCGAGGGGTCTGAACTTCCGTCTTTCGGGCCAGCCCTGCCATGTCCAATTTGCCGTAACACTTGAGACTGAAGGTGGTGGAGGGAGAGGGGGACACCACAGAGGAAGAGTGAGGCTTTAAGCTTTCTCACAGAGCTTGAAAAATCAATTAAACCTTTACGGGATCAGATTTTTTAAATATAAATGTTGGACATAAAAACATTTTATTTGAGAGTATTAGCATGAAAACCAATTCAAACATTTTAAGTTTTGTTTGAAAGTATATATGTTCTCCTTTAAATTAGAACTTTTTATATGAATAACACAGAGTCAAATTTCTCTCAGGTAGCAAGAGATAATGCAATCAACGAAAGATGGGAAAACGACTTATAATGCTTCAGAGAATCCTTGACTAATAGGATTTATGGCTTAGGGGTTCTGGACCTACAACACCTACAGGGGCGAGGGTCAGTATGAATGTGAGAGAAAGCCAGCACAGATGAGTACAGATGAGTGGGACGTCCTCCAAACTCTCTTGTTACACATTTTGGGTCTGTTTGTTTGCAGTATAACCTCCAGAAACATTAAACGCTTCCACTCATCAGTAAACTGTCTCATTGTAACATTATCTCCTCAATGGAGTCTTTGTTTTGACAGCAGTCCATCGGCTGGGGAGAAGGCAGCAGCGGTGTATGTTTGTTGCTATCAGCAGGATTGAGATACAAGCTTCTTGAGGCTCACCGGGGTGGTCAATCTCCTGGCTCTGTCTGCAAAGAATGGGGAGAGGGGAGCATCAGGGGGATCAGCTCAGCTCACTGATCTGCACAGGAAACACAGAGCATGGGAACCCACCAGGGAGCCAAAACTAGTCCCCACAGTGGAAATCTGCTGATAAAGCCTGAGTTAAGAGAAAACAGAAGATGAATCAGGTTTTTACAAAACAAATCAGGAAATGCTTTTGAGATAAACTTCTTCCTGTATGTGGCTTGTAAAGCTGTCACAAAAAGGGTTAACACCACAGAGTGACAATGATCAAAGTGATTGATAAGATGCACTCCATCGAGTTCAATACCAGAATGACGTGAGAAAACAGAGCCAGACTCCATCAGCTGACCGGTTTAGTGAGCAAGGTACAGTGTGAACTGCTATCTCATCAAGAGTTATCAATACAGTGCTGAGGCAATGATGACCATCGGTAAATATTGGCTTTCAGGATTTCAAAACTGTTTGCCCTGTATTTTATAAAGAGAGAAAAAGTTGAAGGGAATGACTTCCAATGATGATCAATGGGAAGAAAATGTGGTCTGTTTTAAATGTTATCGATGGTCCTCGATGGTCCTACTGTACAGATCAATGTTAACAAGCACTGATGGAAATATTCAGACTAAGTCAAAATATGTGTTGTCAGCTAAATAAACTGAATTACCCAATAGGCAGAACTATCCATCACAGTGTAATATATTGCTGTACTTTAATGTAATTGAAACCGTTTTCTATAGCTTATATTTTCTTTCAAGTTTCAAGGCTTTTATTGTCATGTGTGCATAGCTACAGTGTAGTGATGACAATGAAAATCTTCGGTCACAGGCTCCACCAACAGTGCAACACAATAAAACAGATAAAATAGTACAAGTAAATAAAATGAAATAGAATATAATATAAACAGAATATAATATAAACTGTACGGAATAGTCTATATGCAGTAATTGGAATATTGATGTATATGATATGAGTTGCAAACTATAAAAATGTTATGTATGTTCTTTCAAAAGGTCAGCTTTGTCTAATACAATGCATCATTTCAGTCCCTGCCTGCAGCTTCACTCTGAGTGTAATGTAATGTTCCTTAGGGCTGTATTACATATCTTTATTTCCTTGCACATTATGTTGATTATGTGATGCATTGATAGCAAAAACAGAAGCTTTACATATGACTTTAGACATGACTTGTAGTCACAAGGCAGGATGGTGAACTGCGTGCTGTGGGTTTGAGTCCAACGAGGGCCCCCTGTGGCTTGTTGTGAAGGAAGTCCTCTTGAATTTCACTTCATGTTGGAGTACTTTCTTCCTCAATCACTACTTAAGTCAAGTAACTAATTCCACAATTTAAAATAGCAAAGGAAGCATTATAAACAGAAAACAGAAAAGCATCAAAAATGAAAGGAAGACGACTTTCATTGTGTTTTTTATTATTTTCTTTATTGATACTCAGGCATTCTAGCAACTAGAATTAAAGATGGTTTCAACTACATTACACTGCTCGGAATTTAACAATGCCTTACATTTTAAAAGATACAAATATATTTTGTATGAAGACACTTTTTCTTTGCAGTCTATTGCAGTCAAATTAATCAGCAGATTGTGCATCCCTTATCTGGGCTACCAAGCTTTCTGTAAAATACATTTGGTGGGATACAAAATACAGTACCTCCCTCCGAAATGCAGTGCATTATGTTAATTAAATACTTGAGTAAAGAAAACTGTTTTCGATAGTAATTTACTTTAAATGGGATACCACAATTATTAATCATATTGGGGAAATACATTTGTTGAATCAAAAAAGCAAAGACAAAAGTTAAAAAAATCTATATGAGAAATGAAAAACCAAATAAAAGAACATAGCTATATACTCACACTGTATGGGCAACACATGGCATAATTGCACCCATAATTTCATAATGATGTATATAATTCTATCAAGAAAAAACCGTATAGTTATGTTTATAATATAGCTATATAACAAATATATAATTATACAAAACGTATTATGATGAATTGTTATGTATTCCTTATGTTATTTTCTGTTTATTTGTCAGTTTTCTGAACTAATGCAAGAAAACCTAGTACAACAGCTCCCTCTCGCGGTGCAGTGAAGTTATTACAACGTGACTATTGAAGCATCCAGGACATTAGATGTCGCTGTCCGAAATTAAAGGCATAAAACTGCATAAGAGTGTTGTCCTGATTTCTAATAGATGAGAGTAACACCTACGTCACTTCCGGGCGAAAATTACGGCTCCGCCCACTTTTTGGGGAAAACAAAGCTGTCAGTTGAACGGCGGTTAATACAAATTCTGAAGTTTTTGCCAATTCGATCAGAAAATTAAGAAAACCGGAGATTTTTGGATCTTCAAAGAGCCCGATTACAATGGCCAGACAGGCAAACTATTACATTAAACCATTGGAAAACGACGATCGGGCTCGATATATGATTAAATTAAAAGCAGTAGGCGATCAATGTCCATTCAGTCTGCCGGTGGACGAGTGGACAAATGATCCGACTCAATGGCCTGAGGTGTCATATCCTGACATCTATAACTACCTCATTGAATCTCCAGGTAGTTTGTATAGGACGTCATCAAGACACATTATTTATCCGTTTTAATAGTCTGTCCAATTTGCGTTACTGTGTAAACTATAAATATGTGTTATACAATAACGTGTTAAATAGGGGGTTTACCAAGCTAATTAATGATAGCATCTAGTTATAGGTAGGGTTGGTAATTGACGATTTTATGTTATAGCCTATCTTTATAATCTCAGAAAATATACCACAACACAGTACGACAATATTTTAACATACACAGTTCATCACAATAGCAAAATTCAGTCTTTATTAATTAACTTTCTGGATTGCCCATGTTTGTACTACTAATGTTTTTTAAATGTTTGTAGATGTGACAGAGCAGGTTTAGAGATTTGTGTCTGCTAACTTGTCCTCTAGGGATTTACACAGCAAGTTCAATGAAGAACTTCAGGTCTCTGGAAGCACATGCCTTTTTTTTTAACAGTGGCTGGGTGGATGTGGTTCTTCACCACAAACCCTGTGCTGACACAACAGTCTTCAAGACCCATGTAAAGCCATCATGGAGAGTTACAGATAAACCCCACAACACCTGGGTTGCTGTTAACAAGACTGGAGAGGTCACAGCTGCTCACTGTGATTGCATGGCAGGGTAAGCTGACTGCATAACACTAATAGTACAGTCACAATGCCGCCTATGTAATCCTTCAGAAGGGAAGAAATGCTTTTGTTATTTGGTGAAAAAGTATTTATTTAAAAAATATATGTTTTACTCTAGACTAAGAGAAAGTTGTTCCCATTTCGGAGCCCTGCTTTTTAAGTTGGAGGCATCAGTTCGCCTTGGATATACAAGTGTGGCACCAACCAGCATCGCCTGTGCCTGGAATAAAGTCTGCACGAAAAAAGTTGAGGCAGACATGGTCATCAATATAGACTTCTATGGAGACAAAGCCAAAAAAAGGGACACAGGAACAAACTGCAGGGTCATTCAAATGTCGAATGAAGAAAATAAACAACAGTTCTTGGAAATGCTGTCTGCCTCAGGAGAACTGCCTGTTGGTCTGAGCACTTTCAAGGTTTTTGCAGACCCTTTCAAACCAAAGCCTTGGTACCAACATCTGTCAGAATTTTCAGATGATCAGGTACAGGCAATAGAGGAAGACACAAAAGACCAGGCAGAATGTTCATCTTGGCACCAGCAGAGGGTTGGAAGGGTGACAGGTACATCAGCACACAGAGTTATCCACACATCTCTTGAGAAACCATCAAAATCACTACTGAGGGATATTGTGCAGAAAGAGTCACGCAAAAATCTGCTGAAAACACCAGGCATCATTTGGGGTAGGGAACACGAAAAGGATGAAATTGAGACATACAAGTATGCACTGGGCCTTACAACTGCATATACAGCACCCACTTTAATTAACATCTCCAGTGACATATATAAACCCCACACAAGCATCAGTATTCAACGGGCAGGCTTCCGAGTGTGCAGAGAGAAGCCCTACATTGTTGTAAGCTGTGATGCTTATGTACACTGCGTTTGCTGTGGAAAGGGGGTGGTTGAGGTAAAGTGCCCCTTGAAGTGGAATAGTGATTTGTCAGTTGATCACTGGTCAGCAGACAAGAGAGGACATCTGGACACTTTGTTGTCGCTGAGGACCAACCACAGCTACTACACCCAGGTAATACAATAAATAACAACTCATAAGGAATTTTATTATCTGTGTTTTGTTAATTTCAGGTAAGTAGTTGGAGTCTATGCTGTACTTTTTCTTCCAGGTGCAGATGCAGATGTTTGTGTGCAAAACAACCTATGCAGACTTCATCACCTGGACGCCAAAGCAAACCGTTATCTTCCGTGTCCAACAAGATGAAGATTTTCAGTGTCAGGCAGTGGACACCATTAGCCGTTTATGGGCCAGGCACATCTACCCACAGCTGGCGGGAACCACAATCCCAGATACAGAGCTGGAGCTTCAGGTATAAAACATTTTCCTTAGAGACTGCAAATACACTGTCTGTTATATCTTTATACTATGTAATACATGGCACACAAATATTATGAAACAATACAAATAATCACAAATTATGTATAACAATTTCAGGAGTCAACAGACAGTGCTGTGTCAGACACAGAACAGGAGCTTCAGGTAAAACCTAAACATTTATTTATAATTATAGTTCATTAACATTTGCGAGCATTTGTCGTTAGGTGGCTGTTAGGTTAATACTAGCTAAGACAATTCCTAATACATCGTTTATTTACATTTACAGAATAATTACGTGGTGTCAACTGTCATTCCTGGAAGGAGAGCAGAGCAGTAAGGTAGATTTAAAAAGCTGAAGGATAGTCATTGAAGAGTTGTTCTTTTGCTGCCATGGCCCAAACTAAGTGACTCAAAGAGAAAAGACAGCAGGACTGATTTGACCTATACATCCCCCTGTCTGTTTTTATTGAACACAATGCTACCTGACATGTTGACCAAGGCGGCACAGGTATGTACTATCTTGTCAATGGTGGCTACATCCCTGTTCTCCATCTCGTCCCTCAGGGTCTTTACGAAGCAAACAGGGAGCGGCCCATCCAGGATGTGGAATCTTCGCTTCAGCACACCGATCACCCGTTCTGTTCACCCATCAGTTGTTTTAAAATATATAAGTATAAAACTTCACATTTTACCATTGTTCTCAGTAATTGTTTGTTAAGTACTTTGTTTGCACTGTTATACAATTTGCTACAGTCCGTTAGTGCTGTTTTTTATATAACTTAATTTAGTAAAAGAGTTAATTTATTTTCCATCATATTGATATGTGCAATAGTTTACCAGGCTGTGGATAATGAATGTATACTTACCAATATGAATCCGAAATTTTGATTTCATTCTTGACTCTTCAACGTCTTTGCCTGGGAGTTGTTTCCTGCCGAGAGTGAAGGCTGGGGTTTCGAGACTGGCACCAAGTAAGGCAAACTCATCTTTCAGAGTAAAACCCCGATCAGCCAAGATCTAAAACAAGTAATGCATAAGATATGTAGGCCTTTTGCTTTTAATGTTTGCAGTCAAACAGTAAATAACAACACTTGTCCATAATGATTGCCAAAAAAATGCATGTGATGAACTGTTAGTGTAGAATATGTGCACTTTATGTAAGATGAAACATTAGCTGGTCCCCAGGATGGTGGTAGAGGGGTGAAATAAAGCCAGATTCCTTAACTATCTTGACATCTGATGCTCTTCCTCCCCAACCTTTGGCCAAGAAGGTGATGTTTCCTGCAGGACTACACACTGAAATATTTGACTGTAGTCCACTTCTTATAATTAGAGTATGATTTTGCCCTGTTGAAAAGAAGAAACAAAAACACGGTTAGATGAACAGGACTCATTTTCAAGTTTAAGATTTCAAACCTTTAATGGACCTTTATTTGTTTTCAATAATACATTTAATATTTGATATGATGCATGCAGCGGCTGGGTACAATGAGCATACATTTAAAAAACAAGACCTGTAAATTATCAAACTCATTCGTATTACTTATTCAGACCTGTGTACGAACACTGTCAAAGCTACCTGGCTAAACCATAAATATTGGCACCTTTACCTGGCTTTAAGGGCTTTTGGATGTTCAATTCTGATCTCGAAGCAATCTATAATTGATGTGAGGCGCGGAAAGTTGGCCTTCATCACTGGTGGTATGGTTTGGGTGATGCACTCCCTGTCAGGCCAGTGAATGAGGAAAGTGATTTTCGCATACAAAAGATTCAGCCAACGTTGGAATATGTGGCGGACGGTGGGTTCTGGCTTGTGTTGTATTTGGCTTAGCAAAGCAATCGATGGATTTTGGCGTAGCTTGAGCAAGCAAAGGTAGAGCTGGTCCTGGGTAGACAATCTAAAACCTTTTGGTGATGATTTGATGAACTGAACTAAATATCGGTGAAGATAGTCAAAAACTGACCAGCTGAGCCCAGTCATGGCCCTGCATGCACTGTCGTTTCCTTTAATAGCATGAACAGACAAACGCTCCTTAGACCAGTTCTGGAGTTCTCTTCTTGCCTCATCTCTTTCTCTTCTTGCCTCATATCTTTCTCTCCTGAGATTGGCAACCTCTATGGCAATGGAAACCTGCTGCCTATGTAATACTGGCGTGTCACTCAGTTCAAAATCATCAGAGGGCTGAGGAAGTGAATCCTCAGTGAAAGGGGCTTCAGGATAAGCTGTATCAAAATCTTCAGGGGTTTCAGTGGGAGAAGCCTCGCTTTATTCGCTGCCTTTTTGCTGGCAGGACCTCATGCTGAGAAACAGCATATCTCCTTTGGTATCGCTTTAGCCTCTTTGAGCCTTCTGACGATGGTCGTTGTGGGAATATGGATGGGACATAATCTGGATGCTCGCCGTCATTCACATGGTATCCTTAAACCATGAAGGTAGGTGTTAGCCAAATACAGAGACAAACTTGACAGTTTTTTGGTTAAGTTCACTGCGCCTATAAAATATGTAGATCATAAAATAATTACCATAATGACTGTTTTGATAATAACCCGCCCCCCCCCCCATTTCGCTCAATATTCACCAATTTTAACTTTTAAATGAATTGATAAGTTTGCTTCAGTCTGAGCCAAATAAGCTGTTCTCTAATGTCACCTTGTGTGTACAGGCAGCAGTACCACTTCTTAAACTTAACATTACATCTATTTACTTCAACGATTGATATTAGCCTCGTTAGCATCATCATTTACCTGTGATGAAGTGTTTACCACAGACGTCGTGTGTATTGACTGGCCGGGTCCCATTGATTGTGATTTTCGTCCTCTCTGTGAATAGCCTGAAGCCACAGAGTTCTTCTTTTACTGTCCCTTTTTCTTAGAGGAAGTACAGAAAAACGTAACTCCGGGTTTTTTTTTATGTTTGAGGTGCAATACACGACACAGCAGCTTTTTGGCATCATAAAACAATTATTTTCCGCCTCGCTCGTGAGAGTAACAGCTGGCGAAATGACAGCCCCGCCTGCTGCTTTTAATTTAACCAGCCCGATCGTCGTTTTCCTGTCGTTCAATAAACAGCTTCCCCCCCCCCATCTATATACTCGCATTTTAGACTCGGTTACTAACTGTATATCTGTAGACTTGGTATGTCTTAAATGTCCGGGTAGGATGTATTAGAACGAAATCTAAAATGCAAATTGTAAATAAGCAATCTGTATGTAAAAAAACCACCTGTATGTAATTTGTAAATAAGCCATCTGTATGTCAAATATGTCTTATATGTCTTAAATGATATGATGAATTTGAAATGGGGGACCCTGATGTAAACAAGACGAAAGTCTTTCTCTGGTCTGCATTCCCTTAACAATTGTATGTTTTGAGCTGTACTGTACTGTACCCAATATACAAGCTGTTAATAAACTTTTCAATCAATCAATCAATTCCAATGATTTAATGTAATAGTTTGCCTGTCTGGCCATTGTAATCGGGCTCTTTGAAGATCCAAAAATCTCCGGTTTTCTTAAATTTCTGATCGGATTGGCAAAAACCTCAGAATTTGTATTGACCGCCGTTCAACTGACAGCGTTGTTTTCCCCCAAAAGTGGGCGGAGCCGTTATTTTTGCCCGGAAGTGACGCATTTATTACTCTCATCTATGCTCGGCTCGTTGGCTTTCTGGCTGTCAACACGGTGTGTAAACAGCTACACGGAACAGCCGGGGAGAGGGGCTGCAGCAGGACGGCTTCTCCTTCATTAATTTAATAACGGTGAATGGGAAAGCCTGTATGAAAGTCTCTGTGGCCTAGCAGAGTCCGGAAGAGAGGAGGTGTGTGGGTGTTTCATTGTGAGGAGGACGGAGGCAGGGAACCAGCTTGTCGGGGACCATGGCAGCGGTGTCCGTCGCGGAGGCTGATCCGGCGACCAGTGAAGGCGGAGTGGCTTTCACTGGCGTCCAGAGCCGGGGCTGGGATGAGTCTCAGCTCCGAAAATACTCTTTCCAAACCAAGCCCATCCCCAGACTGTCTCATGCAGACCCCAGAGCAGAGATCCTAATAAACAACGAGGTAAAGCCACTCAGATAGCTCAACTTTAATGTAGAGATCTGTATGTTTTTCAGCATGGAGACCTGCAGCACAATCCCTTTTATATATATATGGTGTGCAGTATCTCATTAACATATAGAGAGGATGTGAAAGTAAAACGTTGCTATACAATTTACAAGTGTATTAACCCTAGCCTGGTTTTGAGTGAAGCACTTAGTAAAGGCTATTCAAGTCATTCAAGGGAACATTATTATTATGTATCCTCATTTAAAATAAGACACAAGAGAAAGGGATTTTTAACATTGGATATTCTGTTCTATAATTTAGTTTTTTTAATATTGCATACTGTATAGGCCTACTCCATTGGCCATTGCAAAGGTTAATTGTTAAAACATAAATGTTATTCCTGTAATAAGATTTCTAGCTAGATTACCATTTGCAATGATTTGAAGCACTTGAGAAGGTAGTACCACATGTGAACCATACTGTATAATGCTTACCTCTTTACTTAAGTTTCTATTAACAAAATAAACCAATATACTGACAACAAGGAAGATCTTGAGTAGTTAAAATCAGGATACATGTAATATAGCACATTGTTTTTTTAAATCTGACTTTTTCTTTAGAGTGTTTATAGTTTTGGAAATGCATAATGAAACATATTATAACTGCAAAGCTTATTGGGGTTTTCAAAAGTAATCCTCTTGGAGATGTCACATCAGGTAGTTTGACTCACCTGCTGAGCTGACATTTTTGTTGTTGCTTAGTCAGAAAAGCCATACCGTGGTGGGTTATGTCACCAGTAGGCTATATGAACTCATGTGGATGTCCTCTTTCCCCTCTCATTTTTTGGTGAAAAATCAGTGGGTTAACGCATAAACATGACAAATCATCCTGAAGACGTAAAAAAAGAAACGCACACCATTGCACTTGTGGTGACAAACCTCATCCCATGTCATCATTTTGTATTCAGAGTCAGATGGAACGTTTCCCAGGATGGCTTCATGTTGAACAAAGACAACCTGATAGGGCAATAAAGCATATGGCTTTCATGGACGTGCAATACTACGTGCATTGTGACTTCTTACTGTACCTGTTTTAAAAGGAAATGCATATTCACACTTAATGTAGTAATTAATATAGGGTTGACTTGTAAGCATCGTTTGTTGTCTTGGGGTAATATGGGGTGCCATATTAAGTGTAGATAGGCTAACATGATGGTGGCCAAAGCAGCTTGAAAAAGTTAGGAAGAGGCTTCATGAGGCTGGTGATAAAACAGTATATCAATTGATAGCGTTACAGGTATGTTGGTGCATTTTATGGTTAGGTGAAAAATCGCTTATTTCCTCATGATTGCAGAAAGCTACGCTGTACACATCATGTCATTATGTTAATTAACCACCAATTATGTTTATTGTGATGCAGGATCCTATTGACTTGAATAAAGCTAGTGCTTGTTGAGAATATGAAAAGAAACAGCCAGGAGTTTATTAAAGTGTCTCTTATCCAGATACAGGTGCACAAAGATGTTAGCATAGCTAGATTCTGTCTTGATTATCAGACCTGAAGCTTTCTCTTCTGTCTAATGATTCCTATTGTACAGGAATAGGAATCAGTTGTCTTCACAAAATGCTTCTGTATTTTCACTCAGTTTTGGATGATTCAAACCTACTATTTCCAGCTCTTGACAAATGGTTTACAAGAATAGCAAAACTCTTATGGAATTTTAACCCACGCACCACATTTGAATTTACATCAATATTGCTCAAGTGAAGTAAAAAGCATTTTCCAAATTCAAGAAGGCAGAATATGTATTTTTTTTAACTGTTAAGGACATTTATGTTCTTTCATAACCGCATTAAACACATGTTTTTATGTATTGTTAGCGTTAACGTGGGCTGATTTTACTGGATTTGTACCTTCAACCTAATTGTAGATATTGTTTTTCACAATGAGATTCATAATTTGCATCCATATTTCAACTGTATATCTTTAAGTCCTCAAAGTCTGCTTTCATTAAGTCATGAAGCTAAGCTAGTTAAGAAATAAAGTGTAAACTGAAATGTGCAGACAAAATAGGGGATGATGAGCAACACAATCAGTCAGGTCGAATACAAATGATTTGTTATTGTGTGCAATTTGCACTAATATAATGGAGGAGTTAAAGTGCAAGATAAAACCACATGCATGTATG